ACTGTAAAGCTCAACGAATCCAGGATAGCCCTCACCAATAGGTTCCAGGCCTTTCAGGATCTACTCACTGGAGAGGACGCAACATTGGAGTACAATCGGAAAGGGATTAAGGAGGCAATCACTTCAACATGTCAGGAGGTCCTTGGTCGCAAGAAGCACCATCACAAGGAATGGATCTCTGTTGGTACTCTTGAAAAAATTGAAGAAAGGAGGAACAAGAAGGCAGCAATCAACGTCAGCCGAACAAGAGCGGAGAAAGTTACCGCACAAGCTGCATACAAAGAAGCAAACAGGGAAGTGAAGAAGAGCATCAGAGCTGACAAACGAAAATATGTGGAAGATCTAGCAATGACGGCGGAAAAGGCTGCAAGAGACGGAAACTTGAGACAATTGTACGAAACAACAAAGAAGCTCGCCGGGAACTATCGTAAACCAGAACGACCAGTGCAAAGTAAGGAAGGCAAAGCAATCAGCAACACTGAAGAACAGCGAAATAGGTGGGTAGAACACTTTAAGGAACTCTTGAATCGACCAGCTCCACTGAACACACCCAACATCGACGCAGCATCCACGGACCTCCCAATTAATATTGGCGCACCTACAATCGAGGAGATCAGTATGGCCATCAGACAAATCAAGAGCGGCAAATCAGCAGGACCAGACAACATTCCAGCAGAGGCAATGAAAACAGATGTGGAAGCAACTGCGAAAATATTTCACATCCTCTTCAAGAAGATTTGGTATGAGGAACAAGTACCATCAGATTGGACAGAAGGAAACCTGATCAAAATACCAAAGAAAGGCGATCTCAGCAAGTGTGAAAACTACAGAGGCATCACTCTTCTCTCAATACCTGGCAAAGTTTTCAACGGGATATTGCTAAACAGAATGAAGGACTTCGTAGACGCCCAACTTCGAGATCAACAGGCCGGATTTCGTAAGGATCGATCGTGTACTGACCAAATTGCTACATTACGGATCATTGTGGAACAATCAATTGAATGGAACTCACCACTCTACATCCACTTCATCGACTATGAGAAAGCATTCAATAGCGTGGATAAGAAAACACTGTGGAGGCTTCTTCGACACTACGGTGTGCCTGAGAAAATAGTCAACATCATACGGAATTCTTATGATGGATTCAACTGCAAAATCGTACACGAGGGACTGCTAACAGACTCCTTCGAGGTGAAGACCGGTGTCAGGCAAGGTTGCTTACTCTCACCCTTTCTCTTTCTCCTGGTGATCGACTGGGTTATGAAAGCGTCAACATCTGGAGGGAAGCACGGTATCAACTGGACAGTAAGGACGCAGCTGGACGATCTGGACTTTGCAGATGATCTGGCTCTTCTATCGCACACGCAACAACAAATGCAAGAGAAGACGACCAGTGTAGCAGCAGCCTCTGCAGCAGTAGGTCTCAACATACATAAAGGAAAAAGCAAAATTCTACGATACAACACAACATGCGCCAACCAAATCACTCTTGATGAAGTTGCTTGGAGGACGTTAACAACTTTACATATCTAGGCAGCATAATCGACAACCAAGGTGGATCCGATGCAGATGTGAGGGCGCGAATCGGTAAAGCAAGCGCTGAATTTCTACAATTGAAAAACATCTGAAACTCCAAACAACTTTCAACCAAAACCAAAATCAGAATTTTCAATACAAATGTCAAGACAATTCTATTTAATGGAGCGGAAACTTGGAGAACCACAAAAGGCATCATCCAGAAGACACGGGTGTTTATTAACAGCTGTTTACGCAAAATACTTCGGATTCGTTGGCCAGACACGATCAGCAACAACTCACTGTGGGAGAAAACAAACCAGATTCCAGTGGAGGAGGAAATCAGGAAGAAGCGGTGGAAGTGGATAGGACACACACCACGAAAAGCACCTAACTGCGTCACGAGACAAACCCTGACATGTAACCCTCAAGGCAAGAGGAAGGCCAAGGAACACATTACGCCGAGAAATAGAGAAAGACAAGAGAAGAATGAACGAACATTGGACAGGACTGGAGAGGGAAACCCAGGACAGAGTTGGTTGGCGAAAACTGGTGGGCGGCCTATGCTCCTTTGGGGGTAACAGGCGTAAGTAAGTAAGTAATATCAGTTGACGAGTGTTAGGTTTTATTACAATGGTTTTTTCTAATTACATTAACAGCATCAAGGATGTTTTTAAAACAATAACTTAAATTTCATCTTCAGAAGCAGTTATTTATTAATATGAAGTAATAATCAATGCAAAAATCGAATACTGCAAACACAGTCAACTTTTTTTGAAAATAGGCTTTCATTTCGATATTTTATAACTTACAGGACGTGTTGTAGCTATTTTACTGAAGAGTGACGTTATTCAGTCAGTCAGTCAGTTACAACAATCAGTTACCAAAAATGTCAGTCAATCCACCTGCTAAAACTGGACCACCATCCTCAAAAGTCTCAGGGGTCAATCTATCAGGACCCGATGCTATCTCTTCCTTCAGATTTCCTATCGCTTTCTCAACTTCATAAGGAATAGGAGGACTTATATCGATTAGCCATTCAGTATTACTGTAGATCATGGGCAACTAAAGTGTGGCTGAACGCCAGTTAAGTGATTCTCTAAAGTGTTCTTCCCATCGATCCAATCTCCTGGATTGAGAATGAACAATAAGCACATCCTTCTCTGAGATAATTTCACTTACATTCGGATTCCCAGTACCGGTTTCCTTGATAAGGTGGAAAATTTTTCTACTGTTACCTATCATCGCGCTTGCCATCGCTACCCACCACTGTTCACGATCATTGCGAAGGCTTTTTATCAGCCTGAGCTTAAGCTGACTTCGCTCTTCATCATGTTCAGAGCCAGGTGGGATGAGTTCCCGAGAATCCATCAGTTCGGCGGATGCTGCTATGATCCACAGCCTTTTGGATATTATTCCAAGCTGTCTCCGCATGAGCATTATCTGAGCATATTTACAACAGACGGTCCATTATCTGTTTTCTGAGCCGCGACACCATAACATCCATCTACGTGTCTTCCCTTTTCACCTAGTCTACCTACTTGAGCACTAAATGTGCCAGCCATTATTGCTATATCAAAGCGCCTAACTTTTTGAAGAAGTTTAGAGGTTTCTGTAAAACACATCTGAAATGCAGTTAGTCGGAGCGTAGACAGATATTACGAAGAGGCAACGACGAGTGTCCCTATCCTTCCGAGTCCTTACTGTCCCGTTTAGTCGGACAGCGCGCAAGCGACTATCTGCTGGGATCAAGTCTAGGAGAGCTCGTTCTGCTCTAGGAATCAATGCAATACTTACGCCAGTGCGACCGTGAGAAACAGCAAAAGGGCTTCTAGATACACGAAAAGTAAATCGACCAGGTTTTTCATTTTGACACGATGAGGTCAGGTGAATAACGCTACTTAGATCCTGCACGTGCGTCTCAGAGATGCAGCATACATCGATTGCGAGAGAGTCTAAAGTCCTAGCTAAGGAAGCCTGTTGCCCTATTCGACACAATGTCTGAACATTAGAAGCTCCAACATGTAATTTAGTACAAGGTTTCTGGTGAGACGTGGAGATAAGAGAGATATTAAGGGGTGTAGGAAGGATTTGATTTTGACCAATTTGGTCTCGTGTGGTGGTACGGATATGAGGGCGGTTCTCACTTCCCGGCTGCCCATACCGTGGAAGGGTGTTTCTTGAGTAACCGGAAAAGGAAAGTAGATTAGTGTCGGTCTTAACGACCTGCGAACGTGACCGCAGAGTTCAAGGGAAAACTGCTTGAGGCCGGTCACGCACGCCTTTTAATGGGTAGAACTTAAAGCGTTTGCTCCGTTCTTGTTTAAAAGGCCTGATCGACGGAGACGGAAATCCGTGGAGTAAGTGGAGATGTGACATTTTTGGGGTCGACCTTATCTAACACTTTTTTCCTTGTGAGAAGGCAGCATCGCTGCAGAAGCTGATTGTCCGAGGGAAACACCTTACTGCTGTCACACCCCTCTGCAGTCAGCAGTACGACTTCGCCCTCAGACCTTGAGTAGCTGCTTTTAGTCTCATCGTTCTCCAGTCGACCTGCCTGGCATGGTAGAACCTTCAGGAACATATGTTTCAGCCAACATAGCTCGGTTGGGTCATCAGGATAAGCAAGCCTGACCACCACGTGAAGGTAGCAGCTACGGTCGGTAAGATTGACCCTAAGTCTTCATAAACCTCTGATTTACTATTCATGAGCAACAATTCGGAAGTTTAGTATCAAAGTTGTAGTAACATTCCTGAGGTCATTATGCCAGACAATTAATTTCCATTACAAATCGGAGTCAGAGGGCTTGATGTTTTTTCCGCTGTGGATCAGTGTCTAATTCCTACATAGCATGTAAGTGAAAAATTAGTTTTCAAAGCGAGCATAATATACTTTAACAACCAAAATTAGTTATTATCGTCTTCACTTAAAATCCTAATTCTTACATAGAAAATCTCTGATAAAATGTGTAGATAACTTTAAATGAGAAGGGAAATGTTTATGTGCTCGAATAGAAAGCACCATATATTGTCACTTCTATTCTAGAATACGCATGTCAACTTATTTTGCTGTATTGAGAGTGAGTTTATCAGTTGAAAATATTTTGTGATATTATCGCATAAACTTGTGCATTTCATAAATTTAGTTGTATTTAGAGAATTTCGGAGATGATGTAACGTTTAAATTTCATTCTAAAAAATTTATTCACGATGTTAAAGTAGCTATGAAGCCTGGTTATGAAAGGATTTTACAATAAAAGAAAATACGACTTTTCTACTCTCTTCTAAATGAATGGACATACATTAGTCTTATGTTGACAGCAAGGTAGTTATATTATGATACAAATATACTGGTGACTGTTGAAAAGATATTTGTAGATGAACGTACGCTCAGTCAAATAAATATCGGTCAATGAGGCAGCATAAACTGATACCTTTATGTATTGATTTCTATCTCTAAGAATAAAATCAAACAATTGTCTGAACACTTCTTAATAGTCATGACCTGTAGAGAAAATTTGGTTTTCCATTTTTGTCTGGGTTGAATATATATAAGTAGAATTACCTGACTTTAAGTACTTGGTTAACTTTTCATTAAAATACTGATGTTTGGATAAGCTTAACTGATCTAACCAATTTTACCTTACCTATCCTCTTCAAAATAGTGTTCGTTTTTCTTCATGCACACATCCAAAACATCCAAGTTTTCCTGGAGGTTCCATTTAATCATGTGAAAACACACAACACATAAGTATATATAATCAACATGGTAAATAAATATGCGTTGTTTATTTAAGATACTTAATTAAAGGAAGAAATTATAAATCACCAGCTAATATTTCCCGTTTTTACTTCTGCATACCAATCAATCAATCAATCAACAGCAACGCAGAGCCTCATACATACGTACATCAGTTACTGTTGTCATTCCACATTACCACAGAGATATAATTGTGAATTCAAATTCCATGGTAATAGAAATAGTGAAAGTATTAGCAGTAATCGGAAATTTTACAGTTCCAAGATATTATTCAAGTAGAATCTAGTGAAATAAACTTAAAAAGAAAAAGATAATGGTCATGAGGACTCTGAAGGTTAGGCTTTGAGAGAACGCAAAGAGTAAATGCACCTGCACCATTGCAAACAGTTTTGAGCCATGTCATTCACGGTTCCTAACCATCGATTACTATCATCTCGCGGGCTCCAACCAGGCAGTCGACACCTACCAATATGATTCAGTCCACTTGTCAGTGACTTCATGGATTTCTGTCACGTTTTAGCCTTGTCGCCCCTAGCTTTCTTCTACCTTATTCCTACATCGCGAAACATCGCTCGACGAAGAAGTCAGTGGTTAGGAATACGTAACACATGTCCCAACCACCTACGGTGATGATGTTTCACTACTTCATCTACTGATCTGCCATCCTAACCTAGCACCCGTTTCCTAACAACAACATTACTTACTCGGCTGTCCCACAATTCACGAGCAATGCTTCGGAGACACCTATGATTGAAAACCAGTAACCTTCTCTTATTGGCCATGTTTCGCTCCCTATCACCAGTTCAGATGCCAATACAAACCAGTCCAGAAGCAACATTCTGCATACCGAGGGTGAAAACCGCATCCTGAACACGCTTGCATTTTTGCTTAGGGTAGTCAGAAGACAACATTTTGTCAGCGTCTTCACCGAATAGAACTATGTCATCAGCATATTCCAAGTCCGCAAGAGTGTGTCCTGGTAAAAGGTCCACTCCGGAACCATCAGACGATAAAGTTAACTCTGAAAGCATGTCTACGACGAAGTCAAACAGGAATGTGGAGAGCCCTGACGAACACCACTTTAAGTAATCAGTTCTGTTGACAGTTCGCCGTAAGCTCTCGCTCGACCAGTGGTGTTCGAGTAGAGAGCTTGTATGAGGTTAATGTACTTCTTTGGTACACCTTTCAATGACATACACTGCCACAGGACCCTATGAACAACAGAGTCAAATGCCGCCTTATGGTCCAGGAAGACGATTATTGTGGGGTATCTGATGTAGTACCTGATGTAGTGTGAACATCTGGTCTATAGAGACACGTCCAGGTCTGGAACCAGCCTGGTTTTCTTTAGTCTGCTGTTCACGAGCTCTAGTTAGGCGTCTAAGGATTATCGAGGCTAACAATTTAGAAATTATATTAGTTAGACTTATTCCCCTGTGATTGTCACAACAAGACTTTTTTCCTTTCTTATAAATTGCGACAATCAGTGATTGAGACCAGTCTGATGGGATTAAGTCCAGTTCACAGGTTCTACCTAAGATCGCAGTCAATCTAGTTGCTAAAACTGGACCACCATCCTTAAATATCTCAGTAGTCAATCTATCGGGTCCTGCAGCTCTCCCTCGCTTCAGATTTCCTATAGCATTTACAACTTCATGAAGGTTTGGAAGGCTTACGTCCACTTGCCATTCAGGATTACTAGAGATCGTTGGTAACAGAAGTTTGGCTGAAGGCCAGTTGAACTGATCCCTGAAGTATTCTGCCCGTCGATCCGATCTCCTGGGTTGAGAATGAATGAATAATAAGACCATCCCTTTCCGAGATAGTTTTACTCCCGACCGTAGCTGCTACACTGACGTGGTGGTCGGGCTTGCCTATCGTGATGACCCAACCGAGCTATACTGGCTGGAACGTATGTTCCTGCAGGTCCTACCATGCTAGGCTGGTCGATTGGAGAACGATGAGACTAAAAGCAGCTACCCAAGGTCTGAGGGCGAAGTGTGCAGCGATGCTGCCTTCTCACAAGGAAGGAAGCGTTAGAAATGGTCGACCCTAAAAATGTCACACCTCCCGTAACTCACGGATTTCCGTCACCTTGGGTAAGGGTGCCCACTAAGGGCCTTTAAGAACGGAGCTGATACTCAAAAAACGTTTCATAAAAAGGTCAAGCGTGACCGGCCTCAAGCAGTTGTCTCTTGGGCTCTGCGGTCACGCATCCAGGTCTCTAAGACCAACACTAATCTATTTTCCTTTTCAGGTTCCTCAAGAAAAAACCTTCCACGGTGTGGGCAGCCGGGAAGTGACAACCGCCCTCATACCCATAACAGCACGCGAGACCGAATTGGTCAAAATCAAATCCTTCCTACACCCCCTAATACCTCTCTTATCTCCACGACTAACTCTTCTCACATTCATTTATCACAGTGCACAGCTAATGCAGACGACACGAGTTCGCGAAACGTCGTTCCTGGTCTCCTTAAACCCCGCTCTAGACTACATGTTGGAGCATTTAATGTACGGACATTGGGTCAAATAGGGCAACAGGCTTCCTTAGCTAGGACTATAGAGTCTCGCGCCATCGATGTATGCTGCGTCTCGGAAACGCGCATACAGGATCCTAGTAAGATTATTAATCTGATTTCACCTTGCCAAAATAAAGAAGCAGCCCGATTCACTCTTCGTGTATCCGGTAGCCCTGATGCTGCTTCCAGGGGTCTTGTTGGCGTAGGCATAGCATTGAGTGGTAGAGCTGAACAATCTCTCCTTGACTGGATCTCAGTAGATAGTCGCTTGTGCGCTGTCCGACTAGATGGGACAGTGAGGACTCGGAAAGATAGGGACACTCGCCGTTGCCCCTTCATCGTATCTGCCTATGCCCCCACTGACTGAAGTTCAGACGAGGTTAAAGATGAGTTTTACAGAAAGCTTTCGGACCTCCTCCAAAAATCCAGGCGCTCTGATATAGTATTAGTGGCTGGTGACTTTAATGCTCAAGTAGGTAGACTAAGTGAGCAGGAGAGACACCTAGGTGGATGTTATGGTGTCGCGGCTCAGAGAACAGACAATGGCGACAGTCTGTTGCAAGTATGCTCAGACAACCGCCTATTCTTAGCAAACACTAACTTTAGGCATAAGGAAAAGCATCTCTTGACCTGGCGACCCCCGAACTCGTCTCAACGTTGGACGCAACTAGATCACATTGCCATCAGCCACCGATGGAGGGGTTCGATAGCCGACTGTCGCTCGTTCTAGGACACATGTTTGGATTCAGGTCATGCCCTAGTGCGAGCGCGTATTTGTTTGAAGCTTACTGGGCGTAGGAAAGACACTGTAAGAAAGCCTCATAGGGTTTTACCTAATGATAATAAGGCGAAGAATATATTTCAGGAGCAACTAGAAAGACAGTTAGGCGACCATATAAGCGATTCATATCCGGAGGCAGGATGGAATGATTTCAAAAAGGCTGTGGAAACAGCAGTGATATCTGCTAGTAAGGTTGACCATAAGACTAGAATGTAGCCGTGGATCTCCGTAGCATCCACCGATCTGATGGATGCCCGAAAACTCATCCCACCTAACTCTGAACATGATGAAGAACGAAGTCAACTTAAGCGCAGAATTATAAAAAGCCTACGTAACGATCGCGAACAGTGGTGGGTGGCGAAAGCAAAAGCGATGGAAAAGGCAGCGGCGATCGGCAACACTAGACAACTTTTCCGACTTATCAAGGAAACTGGTATTAGGAATCCTAGTGTAAGTGAGACTATCTCGGAAAATGATGGGACTATTATTTATTCTCAATCCAGGAGACTGTATCGATGGGCAGAACACTTTAGGGATCAGTTCAACTGGCTTCGAGCCACTATTCGGTTACCCACAATCTCCAGTCATCCTGAATGGCAAATCGACGTAAGCCCCCCTAGTCTTAATGAGGTTGAGAAAGCGTTAGGAAATCTGAAACGAGGACGAGCTGCGGGTCCTGATAGACTGACCCCTGAGATATTTAAGGATGGTGGTCCAGTTTTAGCAACTAAGTTGACTGAGATCTTAGGTGGAATCTGGACGTAATCCTATCAGACTGGTCTCAATCACTGATTGTCCCAATCTATATGAAAGGACAGAAATCTTTTTCCAGGCAACTTAACCAACGAATGAGTGAACATCTCCCAGCATGGCTTACGAAGGGTCAGTCAAAAACAATACGCAGTTCTATCTTAGCACACCTGGTACATAGTGGTCACGTTGTAGATAAATCTAGATCTTTTCGGGTGATCTATCGTATACCCCCATCATTTCTCAACGGAGTTCGATCCCGTCTCCTACACATTGCAGAAGCCATAGGAATACGTACATTCAACCCTAATTTGTGTTCAGAAGAAATTCGTGACACCCCTATCTCTTCCGTGGCCGGATATGACGTAACTAACGATTGACATTATATATATATTTTATTTTATTTATTTATTTTAATTTTATTATTATTTTTACACACCTGCTTATTACGTAATGTTTTTTGATGATTATTTGAATTCTATTCTTCCACCCTTGACCTACTTTAGTTATCATATTTTACAAATTTTCTTACTACTATCAGTACACCTGTCTTCCTATTATCCACTTGAACTTTTGCCTATTAGATGTAGTTACGTAATCTTTTTCATTTCATTGTGATTATCACTCAAATTGCCTTGATTGGTTTAACATTTTCATATAAATATTCATGTATATTAGAGTAAAGCCTGATGACGATCTAATCGAAAACAATATTGTTCGCTTATATGTGTTGTTCTAATTTTCACAATGGGAATCTTTAAAACTCTAGTTTTGACTTTCTAAACTTTTCTCACTGAATCATACTTCTTGAATAATATCTTCTAATCCTAACCTCTTCGATTACTTCCAATACCTGTACTACCTATTCTACTATTGGATTTGAATTGACAATTATATCTCTGTGCTGATGTGGTATGGCAACATGAACTGATGTACTTACGTACGAAGTTCTACCTTGCATCTGGCTGACTAGTTTTACTCACGTTCGGTTTCCTTGATGAGTTTGAATAGTTGCCTATTGCCGCTGCCTTTTACATCTCCCTTGCTTTCCCTACCCACCACTGTTAACGATCATTGCGAAGGCTTTCTACCGGCCTGCGCTGACTCCGCTCCTCACCGTACTCAGAGCCAGGTGAGATGAGCTTTCGAGCATCCATCATTTCGGTAGATGCTACTGAAGTAAACTTCTTCTTAGCCTTAGAGTTTACCTTAGTAGCAGATATCACTGGTTTCCACATACTTTTTGATATCATTCCAAGCTGCCTCAGGGTGGACATTACTTACTACATGGCTACTTAATTGTTTTTCTAGTTGTCCCTGAAATATATATTCATTAAGTACAGCCCTAACAGATTTCCTCGCGATAAGTTCCCTACGTCCAGTGTGACGCAAACAAATACGCGCTCGCATCATAGCATGGCCTGAGTCTAAACAAATGCTCCAGAATGAGCGGCAGTCTTCGATAGAACCTCTCCACCGATGTGATTTGGTTGGGTCCATCATTGGGTCGGCTTTGGGGGTTGCCAGACCAAAAGATGTTTCATCTTATGCCCTAAGTTAGTGTTTGCTTGGAATAGGCGGTTATCTGAGCATTTCTGCAGCAGCTAGTCACCATTATCTGTTATATTATCCGCGACATCATAACATCCACCCAGATGTCTTTCCTTATCACTGAGTCTACCTACTTGAGAGTTAAAGTCACCAACCATCATTACTATATCAGAGCGCTTAGCATTTTGGAGAGGTTTCTATAAAACTTATCTTTCATGTCATCTGAACTGCAGTCAGTGTGAGCGTAGTCACATACGACGAAGAGGCAACGGCAAGTTCATTTATCTTTGTTAGTCTATACTGTCCCGTTTAGTCGGACAGAGCATAAGGGACTGTCTACGGTGATCCAGTCTAAGAAAGCTAGTTTTGCTCTAGGACTCAGACATACCTACACCAGCAGGGCTTCTAGATACACGAAGTTTGAACCTAGTTGGTCATGTCAAGGTGAACTCAGATAAATGATTCTACTCGAATCTTGTGTGCGTCTTTCGGAGACGCAACATGCATCGATGTCACGAGATTCCAGAGTCCTAGTTAAGGAAGCCTGCTGACCTGTGTGGTGCGAGAATGAACGTAATCAACGCCTCGTCTTCTGATTCATATACCGTTAGGCATTATCTATAAACGGTTGTTGGGACGAGCAGCATACGAAGGGATTATATCTTATGCTCTCGTGGCTCAAAGAACAGATAATGGTGATCGTCTATGCTATGCTCAGATAATCACCCATTTCCAGCAAACAACCTGGCGGCCCTCACAGCCGACCCAACTAGACCACACTGCTATCAGTCATCGGTACAGAGGCTCCCTCGAAGATTGTGGCTTTTTCTGAGGCACATGTTCAGATTCAGATCATGCTCTAGTGCGAGCTCGTAATCGTCCGCATCAAGGAAACCTCTTATAGTTCTACCAAATGATAGCAAAGCTGAGCATATATGTCAGGGCTGTCCACTTTCTTCATTCTTGTTCAATTTTGTCATTGACATGCTCTTAAATAGACAGTTGCATCATGTGACTTTTCAGGAGTCGAACTCTTACCAGTAGATTTGCTGGTTAACTTAGAATATGCCGATGACTTAACTCTGGTTAGTGAAGACGGTTACAAATGTCAGTCTTTTGTTTACCCTAGGCAACAATACAAGCATGTTCGGGATGCAATTCTTCCCCCTTCCCAATGCAAAATGTGGCTGAAGCTGCCAAACGCGTACTAGGTAAGAATGGAATACCAACAGACGAAGTTGTGAATCTTTATCAGTTGAGGTAGTTGGGACATGTGTTACGAATGCCCAACCACCGACTGCATCGTTGAGCTATGTTTTGTGGTGTAGGAATGGGTTCGAATAAAGCTAGGGGTAGCCAAACCAAAACATAGCACAAATTCATCAAGACACAGACAACTGGATTGAGTCATTTTGGTAAATGTAGGCTTCCTAGTTGGTGTCCGCCAGATGGTAGCAGTCGGTGGTTAGAGACTTGTAATAACATGGCTCAAAACCGTTTGCAATGGAGCAGGTGCATGCATTCTATGTCTTCACTAAAATTGTGATCTTCTGAATTCTTCATCAACTGCTTTTCTCCTCCTAAAGTTATTTCACAGAATTACACTTCTTGAAAAATATCTGCGAGCCCTAATCTTTTTGATCACCGCTAATACTTCTATAACCTCTACTACTATGGGATTTGAATGGACAGGTGTCTCTGTGCTACGGTATGGCAATTTGAGCTAATGTACGTACGTACGAAGTTCTACGTCATAACTGATTGACTGTATTATATCGGATACCGGTTGCTACAGATTAGTGAGCCGACACTCACCATAGTATACATTTAGATGGGTCATGTCAAGATATCGACTTCTTAAGGTCACTGACATCAAGATTCATGTAACTTCAACAACCTCGTACTGAGCAATAAAAAAATAGCAGAAACTTGATGATACAATATTAATATTTGACTAGATTTTGAATTTTAATATCTATCAATACTGTAAGTTTCATCAGGACCCGATTATCCACTTTTTCCTCAAAGTTAATACCGATATCCCGAATTGTTTAGCGACGTCTTCAGTCTTACTACACGATAAATTTGATAAAACTGCTCAACGCATTACAAGAGTATACAAAAAATGGATGACGTAATTTCATAAAACTAAGCATAAGTTAAACGTTACTACTTTCTGCTTGCAACAATAGCACATCGGATGTGAAGAAGCTTTTACATTCATAATTACCGGATCAGTGTCTCAGGATAACCAAGTGCATCGTGAGATGAGGAGAGACTATTATTCTGGTTGATACGCCACAGCTGTGAAAAACAAATCTCACAAGAACCCGGATTATGTTTTTACTAAGTATATGAAGTAATGATAACCGATAGTAGAGGTGCTCGTCAGAACACTATTGACTCATACCACTCGTTGTCAAGACGAGATTTCAAATTCGAAAAAAAACACCACACAAGATATATCTGACCAGGGTCATGACTTTGCTTACTTAGCAACTACGTTTGTTATTTAACGGAACCTAAACACCTACGTAACTTTGAGTTACTCAACACGGTTACATTTTAGTGAAGAATTAACCGATTTATTGATAGAATCATGATGTTCTAGAGAATCTGGTGTAGCTCGCTAGACCATAATACATCAAAGTTCACCCTATACAACCTACTTCTCTACCTTTACTAGTTAACACAGTAACATGTTATTTGCCGAAAGAAGTAGTAATCCAGAAACGAACTTTGTATATTGCTTTTATTAATTACAAATTGGAGTTCTGTTGTTCCAAATTCCGACGACAACTGGAAGTAGATCACTAGCTCAATGTAAACAGAAGAAAACCAACTTACATATTTCTCCTCAACTAAGCCATCCTTGAAAAAAACGAAGTAAGGTGTCATCCCATCACTTCGGAAGTTCATCAATACTACCATGCCTTGAGAATTACATGTCTCACCCATGTAGAACTCATAATCATCGATGTTTTTGAAAACATCTCGCATGTATGTCTTGATCCCGTTTTCAAATATTTCTACCCGAGCTGGATTCTTTTCTTGTAAATGTGTTTTAATAGCCTTCAAGTAGCTCTGGAAACATAAATCGAACCAGGTAGCTTACCTTAAGATGTGATTTGTAATGTTCTTTAAAGCTAGGACAAGGAACCAGTCGACTTCCGTGAACTAAGCCGATAACCCTTTCTTTCGTTTCACATACTTCGTCATCATCACCTTCGCCTGAAGGGTTGGCACCGATAAGTCTATCATCTACTCCATTTGATACAAATTGAAACTCAGAATCGACTTCGTAAATAACATCATCTACTAATTTGGGCTTGTGACCTTCTGAAAACAGCTCATCTCCTGGAAAAGTCAGAAACGAAGTGTACCCCACCTGATATCAGATCCTTGAAAACAATCATTCCTAAAATCAAAAAGCGAAGTGGACTGTAACGCCAATAGCACTAAACAAATTCGATGTGGATCCAATATCCAATATCTTTTTCACGAGCTAGTGTAACACAGTTGATTTATTTCCGCTTGATTCTTGTTCTTTTGGTACGGTTTTAGGTGTTCGGTAGTGTCCAATGAAAGGGGGATCTAGCCACTCGACTGTCTAATTTCAGTCAGTTAGCAGTTGATTGTGAGTTTGTATATCTCGGGATTTGAATGAAAACGTTTGTTTCAGGGCAGTAGAGTTTCTAGATCCCAGAAGCTATCACATCAGCAGACCGGAGATCAGTTAGTAACAATGTGGAGGGTAATAAGTATAATAAGGATAAATTCTAATGCTAATATGAATAACATTTCAGAACTAAGTAATATACAGATGATTTAGTATATCACTTGGTGGTGAATAGTGTGAGAGAGAACCGAAGTGTAAGCAAGGAAGAGGAAACAGAGATCACAGGCGAGATAGTTAAGTAAGTGATCTGAGGAGATGGCAGTGATAACAACTAGCAGGTCTCAAGATATGCATCATGTACGAGGGATATGATAATCCGTATGTGAGTACGTGATTATCAAGTCTCTTGTTAAAGCAGTCCACTGAGGGGGTTGTGGTCACCTCGGCTGGGAGAGCATTCCAACTTGCGACGACTCGCAATGAGAAAAGGTGTGCACGGATCTGAGTATTCGCTCTTTGATGTGCGATCTTTCGAGGAATGCCTCGAGGGGAGTGGTGGTGATGCATCAGTAAGATGCTCACGTTGGGATGGTTTGGTGTGCTTGATATGTTGTACGCCATAATCAGATCACCTCTGATTCTCCTGTAGCTCAGTGGAAATAATCTCAAGAGCTGGAGTCTATCGTCGTAAGGTTTATTTTTCAACTCTATCACCCATTTGGTTGCTCGTCTCTGCACTCGATCCAAGAGATGTATGTCTCTTTTGAGCAGAGGGGGTGCGATGACGTTGTGAACATTCAGAGAAATAAAATGCTATATGTTTTTGTATCAGAAATAAACCTGTGTTATCATTTGTACCAACGAGTTAAAAGTTATTACTCATAGTCTCTAAATAAAAAATAGTTGGTAGAATGGCATATCCGTTTAATGAACTGATGCCATGGCAGATTTAGGATTAAGTTTGTAAAACACAAGAGGCTGGTAGGCTTGTGTTAGTTCTGGCAATGTTGGCATCTTAGTTTATTTAGCATAATTTTGTGCATCGGCAAATAGAGCTTCAATCTCATGTCCGGTTAACAAATTTCATCGCTTAATGATTCAATGGGAAAGTCCTTAATCAGCTGACAGGTAGGTTGTATTCGATGTGTGGATGTTAATGGAATGCTCTCGGAAATTCTCTCTACTGGAAGACAAAAAAAATGAGGGCATATCAGATGCAAATTTATTTTTAGGTATTTCAGAAACTCTGATCAGGTTGTCTCCAGTCCTTTCATATGACAGAGGGATAAATTGAGCGTGGAAGGTCTTGGAATCGCAAAGCTGCCGTGCTATCAAAGAATCAATTTGTGCGAGGTCCTCTGCAGTTATTCAACAATTTAGTCTTCACATGTCAGACCTAACTTTCTTCCAGTCTACCTCTACACTGTACAACACTGCTCGTCAAGGCAGTTGGAGATTCGGCAAACATAACGACCACTTCAACTAATGAAGGCTCGCTACTTCATCAACTAATTTGCCATCCTTACTTAGTGTCATATTCCTAACGTCAGTATTGCTTACTCCATTGTCACCGAATGCACAGGCAATTGTTCGAAGACACCATTGATCGAACACTAGTGAACTACGTATATCCTCTCTCCTTACTGGCTGTGTTTCGAACCTGTAAAGTGGGACGAATAGAACTGCCACACAGTAAACTCGTCATTTGGTTAGCGAACAGATTCAGCGCTTGGATGACTTAGGTGGTTGCCAGGTCAAGATAAGCCTTTCCTTGTGCTTAAAGTTACTATTGGCTAGGAATAGGTGGTTTTCTGAGCACGGTTGCATCAGACGGTTGCCGTTTTCTGTTTCGATCAGCCCGACTGCCCACACCGCGGGAAGGTTTTTCTAGAGGAACCTGAAGAAGAAGTTGGTTTAACGTTGGTCTTAACGAGCTGGGAGCATGACCGTAGAGCCCAAAGGGACAACTGCTTGAGGCCACGCACGTCCTTTTTATGAAAGGTATTTTGACTTTTCGCAACGCTCTTAAAAGCCCTTAGTGGGCAACCCATACCGCTGGAGACGAAGATCGGCGGGGTAATGATACGAGTGAAATTTTTAGGATCTACCTTTTCTAACCACTTCCTTTCTTAATAGAAGGTAGAAATGCTGCGGATGCTGGTTGTCCGAGGGAAATACCTTACTGCCGTCACAACTCTGTACAGTGAGTAGTACGACTTCAACGTTAGACCTTAGTTTGCTGCTTTTAGTCCTACTGTTCTCCAATTGACCTGCCTGGCATGGTAGGACCTAAAGGAATATATATTCCATTCAATATTGGTCGGCTGGGTCATCATGATAGGCCACCTCGACCACCACGTCAAGATGGCAGCTACCGGCGGGAGGCATTTTTAATCTTTTCCAAAGGCCAACAGCCTTTTATAGCCAGGGACTATTTGCTTGCATGAAATGACTGATTTCAAGAATGGCTGATGTTGAATGCTAAGTCAAAAATGTCTTAGCATAGCTATGGTGCGATCGTCTACGTATAAACCATGGTTTTGTAAAACCCCTGGCGGTTATTACACAACCGTTTGCAGTAATTCTTGACCGACGGTGACTAATAGGTTAGTGTTTCCGAGTAAACTTCATCTCAGTGTTTGCCGGTAACACTTAAATTTGCTAATGGTTTTATAGGGAATCAGTTGTGATTTGACCTATTTGAGTACTTATCAGTCCTATGTTAATGAAAATGTATGCTTTAGTTCCATCAGCTCATCTAATTAATATTAAAGAAAACCTGGTAATTTGAGGGTTATTCCCACGGAAGTTGACAATCGTGAAAATGGAGTTCAGGATGGTTCGCTAGGAAGCCGAGTAAGACCGCTTAATTCTAAAAGGAAGGCACATTTTGTATTTCGGTCTTATACGCCATGAAAATTTCCCAAACTTTTCTCAGGAATTTTCAAAACACTCCTTTCAGTAGACTATACTTTAGCGGTTCGAGACAGTTTTACTACGGTAATAACAACAATAATTTGTCACCGAATTCTATAAATTACAATATTTTTCAGAGTAGGATGTTCATCATGCGTTTTGAGAAATATGCTTCATTTGGTTATTTGGCAAATGGACAGGCTTATGGAACAATGTTCATACCATCAAGACTGTTATTCTCTTGTCACTTACCTTACCTGTCTCTTACCTTACTAATATTGGCGCTTATTAGTGTGCACCCTTCTTCGCTCGGTGTTTTGATAGTGATACCTTAACTCTCACTCTTTTGAATGGAAATTATATGTTTTGTACCTCAGTAACCAATGAACCTGTAAGCATTTGTTCACAACTGCCTAATTCTGAATTATTCAGATGACTCCTGAGGGTTAATTTAGGGCTTTAGACTATTACTTTCATTTTTATCGCTCTGCATATCTTTATACCATCAGCATGCAACAATAACAATGAAGATAGGGGACTAAGTAAGAAATCCTTTATAATAATAAGCAACTTGCATCTAATCCTATATCTCTCAATTTATATAGCAGCCAGTTCAGAGTAACATTGTCAAAAGCCTTACGGAAGTCAACGGAGGCATTATCTATCGGTAACTACTCATCGCTACTATACTCCACCTTTTATGAGTAACTAATAAGTTTATGAAGCAGGAACAATTTATTCTAAAACTTCGCTATTTTCCAGAAAAAAAATTCTAGTTATCGACAAGGTGTTTAATCGATTTCTTCCGAGCAATATTTTAGAATTTTGGCAGTTATGTTTATTGGTGGCTTTGAAGATAGGACTAACTGGCGTTTTTTGCTACCTTATGGTAATCTACTTAAGGCTACATGGGGATTTTGCGATAAAATTTAATGGTACTTTTGTTAATCTAGGACTTGTTTCTTGAACGTATATAAATTAATCCATATGGAGCTTATCTGATAAGTCAAAAGCATCGAGTTATTTTTTAATGGTGTCCAGCGTGGATATGTAGGGGTGTATCTGTATTCTCTAGCAGTTATAATAATATTAATTATTTATTCTCAAATAAAGTTTTACAAACGGCATGCCAGTTTATAAACAAGATCAAGATCTTAAGGATGCTAACAGATTTACTATGAAAGATTGCACAGTAAGATCAATATTTGACGAAATACATTGGATTTTTATAGAGGGTAAATATTTTTCACACTAAATTGTCAGTAATAGTTCAGCCTCTGAAATTTTTAATACAATAGTTGGCGCGAGTTACATCCGCTGTCTTCAGCAATTGGTTGGTTTGTGTTCAGCCAGGAGGCACCTTGTGTGCTGGGGAGTGTGAGAGCAGTAATGTGTGAGGTTATCTGGAAGAAGAAAGAACAAGCGAAAAAGATGAGCATAGAATGCACTTACATTCAATAAAGAAATCAATAGACGGCAACCAGAAATAAAGCCATCATGAGATTAGGACAAACTTACAAACGAAGCTAGTAGTTGTTACAGTAAGGTTTCGAATGCGTTACAGCTTAAGATGAACTACTGCTGGTTGAGAATCAATCCAAGTTAAATCCAGGACTGTATATAATAAGGAATAATTATTTGAATGTGAGATGATCTTCAAATACTAAAAGCGATTTAATATCTCCTAATTCTACCCTTGCTTCGGGGAGTGAGAAAGCCGAACATCACAAAAGGAGAAAGGGTAGTATATCTAACCAGCATTCATTTCGGTGAGGTGATAACTTCAGTCTACCCATGTCTGTTGAGCGGAACATTTTGTTTGCTTACGGCTCCTTACTATATAACAGGATGTAAGTATTCAATGATAGCGATGTTACTTTTCTATGTAAACCACGTCTGTGACTCAAGTTTGTAATCTTGAACTGGTTTCGCTCCATACCGAGAAATCCTA